TATTGAATTGTCTTGTTATTAACAGTTTATTTCTCATACTTTACCTTGAAAAACCTTCTCAAAACAATGTATCGTTATGTTTGCTCCTCTAGTCCTCTTGGCTATACAAAACAAGAAGAAGTGCCTTAAACTAAAAAAGCCAGCATCTTTATGAAAACCACTAGTGCTTTTGCCCTTGCAGTATGATGTACCTTTAACATTCATGTTTACATGAAGTGTATACCACTTTGGAAGAGAGGATTCATGAAGGATGTAGGATGCCTGACTGATGGTTATCCTACATTATGGAAAATGTTCAGATATGAAACTTACACTCAAGTCTCTCTCTTTAGAGACCCTTTGAAATACAGAGCAGTGATGCATTTATTCAGTGATTGTTTTAGTTACTTACTGGTATAGATTTCTGCCCCTACAGCCCATTACTGGAAGTTCACTACTTCCAGGTTGCAGACTGTTACCAACTAGTGACAATGGTAAATAGAGGGGCAGGTTCAGTTGTTAGCCTGACTGGACTGAATGGCACACAGGTTCAAATCTAACCCATTTTGTTACCAACTGAAAACTTTTACTTTATCACTGCTCAGTGGATTATGTGAAATGAGTTGAAATTTAGTTCCTCGTGGGCCTGTTTTTTCATTATCACAGTTTGGTCATCATTACTTGGTCTTTTCAAGAGAGAGGCCAAGGAAGGATTGAACAAGCATGGAGACTGGAGCTGCTTTCGCTCCGAAACAAATTTGAAGCACTATGGTGGTGGGTGATGTGAGAAAACTTGCTTGCTAGCTAAATCATGAATTCTTTTTCCAAGGCCTGTCATTCCTGCAAGCAAATTCACTTACATATATACCAATTAAATACTGTTCGGTCTAAAAAGCCAAAGACCCTATGATATAACATAAGTAGCTGAATCTACATGTTCAAGAGAGAGCAGAAGGTTGGGGGAAAACAAATTCTGATTTAACCTATATACAGAAAGGGATAAAATGAAACATTGTTGTCTAGAAAACATTCTAATTATTCACCTAGGACACTTTTGAAATCTTTGTTTTCAGTCTATATCAATAATAAAGATTATATTTCTCTGTCCTTTCTTCTCTCCTTCCTCATTTGTCCTTGAACCTGTGTGATCACCTAAGGAAACCACTGAGAAAAGAAGAGAATGGAACAAGTCGAGCTGAATATGCAATGACGTCCTCCCAAAGCAACAAAACAGCTGATAATGCAGTTGTATAATCCCCAGGACCCCGACAGTATATGGGAGATGTTAAACTTTAAAAGCACATACACAAAGTATGCAAGGTGGGTGAAATAAGGAAGTGAAAGGAGCTCTGTGGCCATGGACTACATTTCAGGAATAGTGCACGCATCAGTTATTCAGAAATGAAAAGCAGAGATAAACTTGCCAATCAGGGCTACCCAGAAAAAAAGACCTCACAAAGGCATAATCACTGCATGCCACATCTGTTGAAAGCAACATCATGATGCCTCCAGCTTCTTCATTTCCCCCTCTTTTCTATTTTTGATTGTTCATAAAGAGCTGCTTAAATATGGTCCTTTGAGGTGAAGATGATTTGCCAGAGTGGCAGCATTTTATTATAAATGGGTGGAAGTCATCACCTGCAAGCTTCTCCAGCTTGTGCAGAGTTTCTTTTACAAGCTAGAAGCTTTGTAGTCTCAATTAATTATTACTTTGTTATTACAAGGGAAAGGGTTTCCATTAATTCACCAAGCAACCAAAAAGTGCATGAACTTGTGAGTTAACCCAGGAAATACAGCTGCAGTCTGGTGACTATGCAATTTCCATGGCTGAAGACATGGTTTTAAAACAAAAGGAGTCAAACTATGATCATTGGCAATTAGCATAGCTTATTCAAAATAGTTTAATATTAAAGGGTGCTTTGACTGTTACTTCATAATCAGCCTCTATTTTCTCCCTGCATATCCTTTATTGCCTAGCTTTAAATGGGTTCTAGATTTCTCGTCCTCTGTGAAGTTCTGCACATTTACTGTATTTGCACCACCAGATCCATCAGAAAATCCCTCTAGAAAGGATTGTGTTTACATTTTGGAGTGAATATTTGGGATTGACCATGTTGAAAGAACTGGCAACACTGGAAACTGAAGTCCTCCTTATCCACTGATCAACTGCTGGGGCAGAAAACAAGTATCGTATCTTGAAGGTTTAGCATTTCCTGAGCTGGCCCGCCAAGGATTTTGTAGGCCTGACTTAGAGGACTATTTACTAGCGACTAGTAAATCGGTGTGCCAGTATTAGCTCAGTCCTCTGCGATTCCTGAGCAGAGACTGCCAATTGTGCCAAATTCTATGTTATAGTTTTGTGTTGTACCTTTTTCGTGACATGGGTTGCAGAGTATTAAAAATGAAGATAACTCCATCAGACTCATTTCACTAAGGATCTCAGGTTAGATTTAATCAGTAGTCCTCTAGGGTAAAGGCCAGTGTTTAGTCCACATCATTCCCCACCCCAAACTTCTGACCTAGTATATTTGATTTTTTTATTTTTGTCATTCAATATATATGTCCCCATTTATCACTGTACAGAAAGTAGTAATACAGTGAAAAGAAAAAGTTATACCACATGCTGGCTTCTCATCTTGCTGTCAAGCTTCAATAATTGTCTCTGTGTCAAACAAGGCATTGCAGTCTCATTGCATAAAATAACTGCACCTTGGCATTATGTCAATAATGAAAAATGTTGATACTTTTGGTTTTACGTAAGAATGGACCGGAGCTGCAGAACTTGGATCTGGATTTCCTATACCACAGTGTTTGAGGCTTTTCTATGTCTAGGGAAGGGGTTTACTGTTTGGCCAGTTATGTGGATATGGGAAAGCTGTGAAATTTGGATTCTAAAGCATTTCTCTGCTGGAGTTCTGGGATACTAAGATAAATTGTTTTGGTTCAGGGCCAAAACTAGTTTTGTTTTGTTTTTATTCCTAATGAATGGGTAGGGTATATGTAAAGATATATATCCTTTCATTGACAAAACAAAATGCTGCTATATATTGTTTTTGAGGATTCTATGGAGTTATTTGAGTAGCTGTTCAGAGTGTCATTCCTATGTAGCAATTTAGGTACATGAATATTATTTTTTAAATGTCATGTCTTTCTTGGGGTGGAGTGAATGCAAATGTGAAAAGCAGCAAGTAACCCTTCACCCCAAAATCTTGATCGTATATTTCCCTCCTATATTTATATTGTATGCTTGCACAAAATACATTGATATGTTTTAGGTGGAATTAACAACATCATAATTTACAATTTGAATCTATTGTCTCAAGTATTTATTGCCTAAGGCAATTATCCCTAAATACCACATAAAACATTTTAATATCTTTCCAGGGTTTCTTAATCCATAAGATTATTTTGGTATAGTTACTTATGTTTTGTCTTTTTAATTTTGTTAAAAATTGTCTTTCACATAACTGTGCCATAGTTTGAGATTGGTTGCATGCGTAGCTGAGTATGTAGTATGAACATGGCCCAGACTCCATATTAGCACTTTATTTTGATCCTCTCTGAATTTCTTTATTTCCTAGTAAAGCTTTAAAGACATGCTCTGTGAGGCCAAGATTACCAAGGGGTTTGCAGATCACCATGTCTAGAAAATGTATATTTTTGCAACAAAAATCTAAGCACAGGCCATTAAGGTTTAATCCTAATCTCATTGATTTCAATGGAAAGAGAATCTTACCCATGACGAAGATGTAATCCAAACTTAATCCATACACTCTAAACTATGTACAATGGAGTATGTGACCCAAACAGTGAACACAAATGAGGAGGAAGCATGTTCAATGGAAAGAGCTCTGGATGGGGACCTAGGTTTTATTGTCAGTTCTGCCATGGACCTGCAGGGTGAGTTTTAGAAAGTTACTCTACTTTTTGTGCCCCAGTTTATAATAAGAACATAAGAACGGCCGTACTGGTCAGACCAAAGGTCCATCCAGCCCAGTAGCCTGGCTGCTGACACTGGCCAGCACCAGGTGCCCCAGAGAGGGTGGACCGAAGACAATGATCAAGCGATTTGTCTCCTGCCATCCCTCTCCAGCCTCTGACAAACAGAGGCCAGGGACACTATTTCTATCCCCTGGCTAATAGCCTTTTATGGACCTAACCTCCGTGAAATTATCTAGCTTCTCTTTAAATTCTGTTATAGTCCTAGCCTTCACAGCTTCCTCTGGCAAGGAGTTCCACAGGTTGACTACACGCTGTATGAAGAAGAACTTTCTTTTATTAGTTTTAAACATGCTACCCATTAATTTAATTTGGTGTCCTCTAGTTCTTCTATTATGGGAACTAATAAATAACTTTTCTTTATCCGCTCTCTCCATACCACTCATGATTTTATATACCTCTATCATATCCCCCCTCAGTCTCCTCTTTTCTAAACTGAAAAGTCCCAGTCGTTTTAACCTCTCTTCATATGGGACCCATTCCAAACCCCTAATCATTTTAGTTGCCCTTTTCTGAACCGTTTCCAAGGCCAAAATATCTTTTTTGAGGTGAGGAGACCACAGCTGTACACAGTATTCAAGATGTGGACGTACCATAGTTTTATACAGGGGCAGTAAGATATTCTGGGTCTTATTTTCTATCCCTTTCTTAATAATTCCTAGCATCCTATGTGCCTTTTTGACCGCCGCTGCACACTGTGTGGAAGTTTTCAGAGAACTATCCACGATAACTCCAAGATCTCTTTCCTGATTTGTCATAGCCAAATTCGCCCCCATCATACTGTACGTATAATTGGGGTTATTTTTCCCCAATGTGCATTACTTTACACTTACCCACATTAAATTTCATTTGCCATTTTGTTGCCCATGTAATGATACATGCTTTCCTTATGACAGTGACTTGAGATATATAATGGCAAACTCTAAATAGGCACTAAGTAATAACCAGATTTGTGGACAATTTCAATAAGCATACTAAGGCATGTTAATTATAAATTGTTGTTCACCATACTATTGATCTGTTATTGCTGACTGTGCAGCTCAATACATTTAAAAGGTAAACAAATCTAAAATTATTTCATTGTTTGCTGGCCAAATTAGGACAGCAACAATTAAAATAAAAATAAGCAATTTCTCCTCTCTGCTTTGTCAAAGAAACTTTACTTTGAACATTCACAGATTGTGCTTTTGGAATAGGTAGAAAATTCTGCAGGGATAATTTTGCTTTTATAATCCTGACTTCCTCTCTTGCACTGAAATACACGGCAGCAAAACTGGCATCTTGAGCATGGCACTGGGGAAAATATACTGTATGCAAGTTCCAATCTTTAGAAAAAAAGAACAGTACGTAAACTTGTGTAGCTTTCTGATGAATTCAGGGTTTTGCTTAAGACTGCAAAGCTTAAATAAGGGGGCTTGTCTGCTCCTTTAGCCCACATTTAATTAAATATAAAAGGAACATAGCAATCATGGCAGATACATATTTCATTTTA